GTCAAACTCGTGCTTCCTTTTCTCCGGAATAGAAGAGCCAGCCTGAGGGAGCGATTTCTCCTGAATTCAGACTCCAGTGAGAGTGTGAGACATGTTCAAGTGTTGTTTCTGTGAAACAGTAGAGTAGCTAGTGATACGTTGAACGTTTTTGTGCCCTGGCAGTTGCATAATATCAGTTGGCGGCATGTCGTTGTTGACTAAAGTTTGAATCATAGTTTTTCTGCCGCTGTGGTTTTTGAAGTTTGGCCCATGTCCAGCTAAATTTCTGTGCCATAGTTTTCATTACGGTATTAAGCTTATTTACTCCGACTGGAGCTTTTTTGAACCAAGGTTTGCTGGAACCAGATTTTACATTGTTTACTGCCAAGTAAAATGGTGCATCGTCGGTTTTCATTTCCGCAGGTCGCTTTTCTGCGTATACTTTGTAGGCCTTTACTGGACATTTCTCATTGTTCGGCACAGCAATGATTTTTGGTGCAATGGCTCTTACATTCCGAGGATCATTTCCTGAAGGAGTTTTGGTTTCTCTTTCATTGAATTCAAATAACTCCTGCCCTGTGGAAGTTTGACAAAGTTTTTCATCTTCCTAACACATCTCTCTGTGCTCCTTGCAGCCTCGTAACCCGAAATGGATTGTGTTGTTGAACCACACGGTGTTTAAAAGCGCTTCTTCTTCAAGAGATCCTTTTCATACAAAACTTCAATATCTTCCTCACTTAAACTAACAGAAACATTAGGCTTGTTGCCCTTGCCTTTCCGTTTTAGATCCCTTTGCTTTGACTGAAGCCCTTTCTGAGTTTGCTCAAATTGGACGTCTTTCGTAAGGCAAAGTCCATAGTTTTTTTTCTTCAAATGATGCTCAAAGCTAGTGAAGAATGCCATTAAGGAATTAGGTTCGTATTCCTCATTGTCTTCTTTTTTGTGAACCATTATAAGGAACTCGCTGAGAAACTTGTTCCACTCTTGAGGAGTCAACTCGTCCAATTGTCTCATCTCGCCTTTCAAAACAAGAAATTTGTGGAACAGAGCAACATGGTGTTTGGTCTTTTTCTTGGTGTTTTCATTTTCCTGTCTGTCTATGAACTCTTCTACTGATGAATCTAGGCTCTGAGAATGGTTAGTCTGATTTGAAGCCATCTTTCTAAACAAAAACGCGCCTAAGCTCTTAGAAATGTGCTATTTGTCAGTCATTAGGAGCGGCGAGTGAGGGACACGGTTTTGTTCACTAGTGAAAATAATATAGCCAATCAGAGTGTTGATACGTCGTTTTTCATTGTGAAAAAAATTGTATGACCAATCATCTGGCTTCTCTAACACAAAGAGACCATTTTTATCTTGATGCTTTTTGGCGTGTAAATCTTGTTATGTATATAATAAATGGTGTTTATTTAATAAATAGGTATATGCTGCCCGATAGAGTTTTGGGGGTTTCCATCTTTCATTAGGGTATCATTTTTGCCCTTGTTGGCACTTTGTTCCTGTGGTTATCCTCAGATAGGGTACTATATCAGCAAAAATTCAAGTCTGTAAAATATGCCCAGCTA